TGAAGGAGACCACATCGAGGATCACCAGCTGCCCCATATCCACCCATCTGTGGGCAGGTGAACACGTACTCCGTGTAGGCAGCAAACAAGGACACCCTCACCCCCATGCTGGATTTCTTCTTTCTTCTTCCATTTTTCCCACTGGAAGACAGAAATAGCTGGTTGTCCTCATTGTCGTGGTCATCTGGGTGACTTCTTGCATGACCATGCTCTGCCCCCCGAGTGATCTGGGTCCTGTATCACGGCGGTCAACTCTGGATGCTGGTTTTAATCTCCTGTCCCTGCACAGGGTTAGGGGAGGGAGCTAGTGAGAGGCAATGGGAGCGCTTTGGGCCGGAGGCATTGCAGCGGTTTTGGGTGTGGAGAAGCTATATGTGCCAGCTGCCTTGTGGAGCTACACACAGATAATCATCCGTGTTCACGCACCCAACTGTCCACCTCTGCTGGGCTGCAGCATCTCTAATGTGCTTCAGTTCCCAAGCCAGCAGAGAGCATCTGGTGTTGTGTAGGGAAGAAAATTGGAAATTTGGGTCTTGAGTTGCACTGTGGTGAGAAGACATCAAGCCAAGATTGAAATTCTTCTATCTAAATGGAAATGAGCAGTGCCTCTGTCATCAGGGAGGGATCGCCTGTCCTCGCTTCCCACATCCCAGCAGACACAGAGTCCACGGACAGACCAGCTGTGCTGCTGAATGGAGGGGAAGGGGGGGGCACAATGCAGGGATGTCCCCCGCTGGTGCCACCATAAGACACCCCGTCCCATCCCTGCATCAAGCCGCAGGAGAGAGATGCTCCCACTCCACACCCTGAGCAACCTGCAAGCATGTCAAAATCATCAGCCACCACAGGGCGACCTGACCTTGCATCCTGACGGGCGTTCGGCCTCGCTAACAGACAGACATTTACTGCAGCTGCCAAGATGGGAATGAGATGTATGATGATAAAAGAAGGATCTTGCTGCTAACAGCCCTGAGCAGGACCAGCCCAGCAGGGACAATTATCTCGGTGCTGATAGCAGGAGCAGCTGCTGCCAGCATGAATTACCTTGCTGTCTGCGGGGCCGACAATGCCAGAGCCGCAGAGCCTGAGGTCGCCCTGAATGATAGACTTTCAGAGGGACCCTCACCTAAGTGGGGCAGTGCGAGGTCTGCAATGCAGAGGGGACCGGGCAACATCCCTGTGCTTGGTCTCCTGCCTGCTCTGGTGTATGATGTCCTTCTTCCTTTGGGACTGGTGGGAAGTCAAATGCAAGGGCAAGAGCCCTCACCATGTGGGTGATGGACTCTCTCCAGCCCTTCCTGGTCCCATTTGGACCATTTCCCCCAGCCCACGGCATCTGGGAGCTCAGTGACAAGTCACAGCAGAAGAGGGCAGGATGCTTTTTAGCTCAGCCACTCTCTAGAAAAAAAGAACAAAACCAGGGACCACCTTCCCTACAATAAACCGGAGAAGCTTCAGCTTGTACCTCCTCCTTCCCAGCCCCAGCTGGCTCCAGCCGGCAGCTTTCCCTGCATGCTCTGGTCACCAGCATCACAAACAGGGCTGGAGACCTTCCCAGGGTAAGGGATGGGAGATCCTGCCTCTCCCGTGCTTCCTTCATGGGCTGCCATAGGCCATGGCTGTGGGTCCCACCTTCCTCACCTTTCTTGGTGTAGGCCTGGATGGGCACATTCTGCAGCTTTGAGTGACAACACTCTCCTCTGGACTGCATGGTCCCTTCTGCCCTCTGAAGCATTTCTAGGATCTCTGATAACCCAGTTTTCCCCTTTTGCTCTCCCAAGCCAACAGGTCAGTAGAGGAAGTCATTGGGATTCCATAAACATGCCCTGAGAAGACCTTAGTTTCTGGAGCTGCAATCTGGGTAGCACCTGGGACTCTGGCTTAAATGACATTTGGCAGGACACGGGGTCTTGCTGCCCACCAGAGGCACCCTCCATTACCTCTGGCAGGACTTTTAACACCTAGTCACCACACAGCCCATGGATTCCAGACCAAGACATGAACCAGGGCAGCCCAGGATGGTGGTGCCAGGCTGCATCTCAGCCCTTGTAAGACAGTTACAAGAGGGGCTGAGCAGATGGGGGCAGAGGAGGCTCAGACAGCCTGAGTGGGTGGAAGGAAAATGGAATTAAGCACAGCACTGAACCTGCAATCTTTACCATAATTACCAGCTAGAGTTGGGGGTTGCTCAGACACCAGGACACGATGCTAGAGCCTTGCACACATAGCAGAAAGCACTGCTACGATGTGCCTGTCCAGGGGCTGCAAGGCACCTGCATGGGAAAGCAGCTAATGCATGTGCAGTAAATTAGGATGTCATGAGCACACGGAGGCAGCACTACACTGCATGGAGTGCCCACCCATTGCACATGCAGTAAATCCAAGACCACTGCATGCACAAGGGGCAAATCAGGCAGACTACTCCCCTTGGAGAGGGGCAGTGGCATGTGTGAGCATGGAGGCAAAGAGATGCAAGAGCCTTCCCTGTAAATCAGGACACGCTGTGCCTGGTCAGAGAGAGCACACTAAAACCAGACGTGCTGTGAATTTGCAGAGAGGTAAACCTTAATGCATGCAGTAAATCAGGACACGCTGTGCATGCGCAGAGAGGCTGTAATGCTGCATATGGGCAGTAAATCACAGTGCACTGTACATGTGCAGCAAGGCTACCTCATATAGGAACAGTGAGAGAGAACACACATGTGCAGAGAGCCCGCCAGTCCCATGCAGGCACAGATCAGGACTTGCTGTGAGCTGCCACTTAATGGAAAAAAATTCAGCATGCATATATTTATCCTGGAAATTAAGAGAAAGACTTGTAGCTGTGCAGGTCATCCAGCTGAGCAGGATGTGAAGGACAGAGAATGCCTGAAGCACAACCACCAGATGAGGACACACTTTGAATGCATGAGATGAGGGTCAACCAGGAGGAGCTGCATGAGATCAGGGAGGAAAGGAGGAAGGAAGGTCACCTCACTGTGAAGGAAGGACCAGATTTAGGATAACCTGGGTATGGCTCAAATAGCAAACAAATGCAGCAAGTGTGCCCCCCACATCCAGAAAAGGAAAAAGAGGGGTTAAAACATATCTAGACTTTCACACCTTTCTTGGGTTTGGTTTTTTTTTTTTTGAAGGAAACCCAGCTTCAAGATAGGAAAGCAAATAGAAACAGAATTTATCACAGATACATTGTCTCAGTGTAACGTAATGATTTTTCTTTGATCATTAACAAGGTGATGCAGCGCATTTAGGCTGGTTAGATTTAAGGAAGGAGTTTGATTTGCACCCAGTATGAACCAGTTTCCAGTGCTGGAAGTCACGGGTATGGATAGAGCAGAAGAGGAACCAGCTAATCAAGTAAATGATGTATTAAAAGGGGTGTCTCTGAGCAAGGTGATGCTTCTAGCACTGTTCCTCCACCCCAGTCTTGGGATGACCTGACCAATGTTAATAGCAAGCAGTGCAGGGCTGGGAGTGTGGAGTCATCATGCCTGGGATGTCTTTTCACAAGGGATACAGCCACATCACTAGCAAGGCGCTGACTGGGAAGATCTCACCCAGAAGATCTGCCCGAGCATGCCATTTTGGAGACAGGCCTCCAAAATTGTGCAAGGAAAAGGAGAGAACTGCTCACAAGCGTAGACTGAAAAATAGGTGGAGGCATCCAAGCGTGGATGTTTTGGGACAATTTTCAAACAGGGTACCAGGAGCAAGTAACTGGTTTGAGACGATGCTGGGGAAGCATACTGAAGGGACTGAGCAAGGGTGGTCTCTGAGTTAGGAGCTGAAACTTGCCCCTTGTGTCAGATATGTTGGTCTTTATGAGAAGATTTGAAAGGAGGCATTTTAGCTGGGCCATGTGTGTACCACATGCGTGTGCTATGTATGTGCTACACTGCACGTTTTGCTGGTAGCCTGCAGGGATCAGGAACAAATTTCTCTCCTTCGCTACAAACTTTGGCAGCTGAGCTGTTGGGTTATTTGATCCTTCTGCAGATTGCTGTGGTTCAAGACAGAATACAGGGCACTATGTTTTCAGTGATATTCAAGCAACTTAGGCATCACTGCTAGGACTGGGGTTTTAAACTAATCTCTAGGCTTGGGCTCAAGGAAACTTCTCCAGGCCAGAGGAGCAGGAAGGGGACACTGATGATGGACCACACCCTACACACATCTGAGGGTTTTGCCCAGTCCCGCAAGGATCAGAGTTACTGGTAATGCTCTCCAGCCTCTGAGGTGTTCAGGAGCCTTGGTGACTTGTGCCAGGGTGGATGATGAGGCTGATGTCAGGCTTGACACTAACCGAAGTGCTTCATTTTCAGCAGGTGGGAGACATTAGGGACTGTGACAGTTTCAGCAAACATACCCCAGCTTCCAAGGAGGGCAAGCTCAAATTCTGCCCTGAATCAGCCTTTCACCCCTCTTGGTTGCCTCCCTCCTGCAAGACTGCATCTGCTGGCCAGCGAAGTCCTGTGCAGGAGTAAGCACGGCCCCAAGCTGGCCCACAACCAGGCAGAGTGGCACGAGGCTTGGGGGCCATGCCAGCTCAGCCCTGACCGCCATGCAAGAGCAATGTTCCCAGCCGTGCTAATCCAATTATAAAACAAACTTCCTTCCCTCATTATCAGGGTCTGCAGCATGCTAAAACAGCTCAGCGATTATGGAGGGCTTAGCAAGGGACTAGAGATCAGGCGATGAATGACAGAGCTGTTTCACTTCTGGGGAGGAGAGACAGAGAACAGAGGCAGCCAGGAGGACACAGGGGATTGCTGGTACAAGTGGATTGGGAATTGCTACAGACAAAGGTCTCTGGTCAACCTTCATGCTCCCAACAGGGTTAACCTTAAAGCCACATCAGGTTGTTCAGGCCCTTGTCTGTGTCCTGGGGATTAGCATCTTCATGAATGGGGATTCCCTGTCACCTCTCTAGCCCTGTTGCATGGCTGCCCCCACCCACCCCATTCCCAAACAACACTCACTTCAGTCATGGGATAGCACAGATAGCACTAAAATACCCTTGTAAGAGAGATTCAGTTCAAATTTTCTGGGAAGGTCCTGATCAGCTCCCATCATAAACAGAGGTTGCAATACACCAGCCAGTCCCAGTGTCACATACTTTCTGTGCAAATCCCAAAATGAGACCCCCTGGGTCCAAACAGGACCCAGGACCTGCTTGGATCTGCCCCATTTGAGAAGATCAGGTCCATCCCCTGACCCAGTGTCAAGCTGTGGGCTGGCTCTTTGTCCTCCTGTGTCCTGGCTCTTTTTGTGTTCTGCATCCTGCAGCCTGCTCCTACATCTTTCTTGTTGGACCTCCTCCACCACATGAGGGCCCACATGGAGCTGGAGGCTCCATTGGGCTGGAGGCGTTACCCTCAGGTTGCAGTGAATTTGCAGCCATCTGTCCCTGGTGTCCAGTCCCTCCTGGTAATGCTATGAAGAGGGGAAAAAGAAACTAGCTGGGCTTACAGCAGTTCTGCTTCTCTCCAAAAAAAGCCCTTCTTGGACTCTGGTCAACACTGACACTGCCTGGAGTAGGACGGTGAACTAGAGATCTCCTGAGGTCCCTTCCAATGGAAGTTATTATATGAGTGTAGCCAGGTCAAAGGAAGTAGTTATTTCCCTTTATTTGGCACTGGTGAGGCCACGTCTGGATACCATGTCCAGTTCTGGACCCCAAGTACAAGGAGAGAGTCCTGCAGAGGATCACTAGGATGGCCAGGGCTGGAGAACATGTTGTACAAGGAGATGCTTGAGGAGTTGGGCTTCTTTAGCCTGGAGAAGAGAGGGCTGAGGAGGGATGTAATTGCCACAGGGAGGATTGAGAGCTGCTTAGCTGAAGCACTTGGACACAAAGCCCAGCTCCAGAGCAGTCCTGCTGGTCTGTGACTGTTTCTGGGGAGCTGGTGCGACACACACACGTCTCACACCTCTTAGCCCTCGGCAGGGATGACCCTGAGATGGATCCAGGCTGCTTGGGCAGGATTTCACCCTAAGGCTGCGAGGTTGCTGATACAGCCAGCACTGTCTGCCAGGCAGTTTGCTCCCTGCCATAGTTTCTTGAGAGAAAAACCCACAATACGTAGGGAGGCTCTCCTGTGCCTTCATTCCCCAGCTGAACGGACTGGAGAAGCCTCTGCTTTCCCAGCCGTGGCCACAGAGTATCCCCTGAGACAAGCTCTGCACTGGAGCCGTCAGGGCACAGCAGGGCTGCTAAAGGGCCCTTGAAACCTTTTAAATGCAGCAAGGGCATCCAAGAGCATCTCTGCAGATTTCTGCATCCCCAGCCCTTTCTGCAGGCACTGGTGTGGCACTGCCAGGAGAAAAACCCTCCAGCTGGAGTCGCCTCCGTCGCCGCCGGACAAGATGCCTCCCTGGGATGGAGAGAGGCAGCCGGGGAGCTGCCAGCAGCCAAGCAGGGCTGTAAGGAGACACCAGGCGCCCGACGAACTCAAACCACTGCCTTTTAAGGAGCAGCAGAGCCTGAGGCATCCTGGAACAAACCACCAGAGTTTCTGCAGGCTCCCAACCACGGCATGCACTTGGGGACCATGCTGGCCGTGCCTGACAGTCCCCATGGCAGCTCAAAGCTGTGATGAGCAGCCAGGACAGCAATCCCCCAGCTACAGATTGAGTCTGGAAAACCCCAGAGCCCTGGATGGGAGAGCAGAGTTCCTGCTGCGGCTGCGGCGCTCGCCCACGCAAGGTCCCTGCGGTCCCATCGATCACCTCCGTCCCCCCCAGCAAACCAGCAGGACCAGCTCCTTCCTGGGAGGAGGCGGTGGGGAGGATGATGCTTTTTCACAAAGCCTTCATCGAGCCACTGCTAACACATCTCACTGATGCCCCAAGCGCTTTCCTCCGCTGATGCAAAAGGTTGTGCTGGTCCAGCAGCGAATTTGCCGCTGCCATCCCCTCTGCTGACCACTGCAGGACCACCCAGGGAGCGAAGGGGAAAGGGAACGTGCTGCAGGGGAGTAACAGCGAGACAGCTTAGTCTGAAGCATGGATGGAAGAAATGCACATGCGTGGGTACAGCAGCAAGCAACACCAGGAACAAGGTTAAATGGCAAGGTGTGCGTTAAGTGCTACAGACCACCAGATGTAGCTTCAGCCAAATGAAGAGAAGGACCAAGCTGGCCTGAAGACAAGGTGTCAGGAAGATGAAGAACAGGACTGGAGCCAGTAAATACCCAGAGGAGGGGAACAGGAGGTCCGTGAAATTCAGGGATTTTGCCTAAGACTTAGAAGGGGTGAAGGAAAACAATGAGGCAAAAGATCCCAGAGAGCACCGCCTTCTACAGGGAATAACAAGCAAGTCCAAAATCAGCTCATCGCTGCCTGCAAAGGGTCCCAAAGACATAGCAAGGACGTGACCACTGGCATCCCTTGTCCCCCGTGTCTCAAATGAGTGAGCTGGCTCAGGCACACAGGTCTCAGTGTACACAAGAGTGAAGGAAAGATCAATTTGCTTACAGCCTTTGTGTAATAAAATCCCCCTCCCCACCATTTTGCCACACTCAAGGTGGTGGGATGTGGGCGCGCGGTCCCCACGGAGCAGGAGGTGACCATGCACCGCTTTATTAGGCAGCGGTGCTGCACACGCAGCTGAGACTGGTCACTATTTACATTTGGCAAAGGATGGCGGCGAGTACCGAGCACCTGTGTGGGTGGGGGCCACCACCGACCTGCCTGGTCCCCCACGCCTCGCTAGCCACAAGCAGGCCCCTGCTCGCCCCCTGCCAGCCTCCTTGCCTGCGGGCACAGCCGTTTTGTCTCCCGTGGGCAGAGCCAGGCACCCTCACAGAGGCACCTCAGGCCCACTACTGGATGATCTCTCCCCCTTTTCCTGCACGTCACCCCCCTCCCCGGCCTCTCCAAGGCCCCAGCTCCGGTCCTTGCATCCCAAGCTCTGCCAGGAGGCAGGTGAGGGCAGCGGGCAGCCGGCGAGCCCCACTCAGCTCCTCGTGCAGGGGGTCCCCTGGCGCCGTCCCAGTGGGCAAACCAGCGCATGGGAGCCCCCCGAGCGAGTGGGACAGGGGGTCCGGCTGCAGCAATCCTCAACAGCGCCGGCCGTGCCCAGCGAGGTGCTCATGGGCTGCTGGTCCGGAGCCCATCCTCAGCACAGCGGCGCTCGGCCCTGCGGATGCGCCAGTTTTGGGTGCACCCGGCCTCGAGCCTGGCTCACGGGGGGCGAGTACTATAGGGTACGGATAGCCACTGGGTAAAGCAAGGACATGTGCTCAGCCCCCTTGATGGGCAGCTTGCGGCTGGCGTAGTGATGAATGATCTCCGGCACGCTGTCGAAGGGCGGGCTGTGCTGACCCAGCACGTACTTGTTCTCTTGGGTCCGGGACAGTTTCATGTGCATGAAGCCCTGGCTGCTCCTGCAAGAAGAGATCAAGGCAGGGTTAGGGGGTACAGCTGACCCCAGTCTCCCGTCAGCTCCCGACCCCCCTGAGACAGGCAGCCTGCCCCTGCAGCTGGGGGGGACGCTGCTGGCTCCTGTCCCCAGCCACGGCCCTGCCCGCACCATCCCACTCTTGGCCAACTCCAGACAAAGCCCACTGCACAAGGGAAGGAGACGGCCAGCCACGCTGCACTGTGTCCCCCGGTGGGGAGCACGGCTATGCAGTGGGGTGTGAGGGGTCCATCTGGGGACAAGGACGGTGCCGAGGCTGGGGTAGGTGTCTGCAGGCAGGGAAGCAAGGACATAGCTCGGGCAGGAGCAGTGGGGGCTCTTGCTGCAGGGTGATGTAGGGGCAGCAGCTTTTGCCCCTCACGTGTGGTAAAGCCCCTTTTGCAACCACCCCGGCTCACACAGGGGGACTTCAGCTCACGTATCTCCAGCCTCACTGTGGCAAAGCAGGATTTGCTCCTTCGGCCTGCAATGCATTGCCCCCCCCCCCATACTGCGGGCTCCATAAAACCCGCTCAGCGTAGCGAGGCCATTTCCCGGCACAGCATGGGCACCGAGCCACGCAAGGCTGCGCAGGGAGATCCTGCCACGAGCGCTGATTCCAAGTGACGGGCTAATGGCCCTGTTGCTATTAATTTGCGTCTCTGAGGAGAGCCACAGCCTGTCTGCAGCGTCTGGAATGCACATTATGGCAAAATATTGATGACTTAAAAGCAGACAGGACCTCATCAGCAATGCTGAGCTGCTTCCAGCGCTGTGCAGGCCGGTTCCACCCCCCCGGCTGGAGACAGTGCCCGTAATGGACAGCCCAGCTGCATTAGCAGAATGGGTTTGCAATCCATTTAGCGTTGAGAGGCAAGGAGCCGGCCGTCCTGGGGGAGGGCAGGGGGGAGAGCTGCAGCCCCCCGCCAGGGGCCAAGGAAAAGCGATAGCTGGCCACATCCTGTGTCCCAGCAGCAGGGCGCAGGGAAGAGCTGCGGAGGCTGCACCATGCATGGCATCCCGTGAAGGTGCATGGGTTTATCCGGCGCACACACACGTGGCTGCACCGCTAACAGGCAGAGCTGCCCATGGGTGCTGCCCTCGGCGCTGCACCCTGTCTGTAGATGGACCCAGCCACTGCCTGGTGCTGGCAGGGCGAAGATGCACAGGAGCCCGGTGCAGGATCAGTGCTGGTCCAGAGCTGGAGTGCTGCCACACGGGTCCACAGAGAGGCGATACTGGTTGTGTTTTGCCAAAATCATTTCACGGGTCTTTGTTGCAAGCTCAGGGACCTGACCAAGATCAGACCCCCGGAGAGATGCCTGAGGGAGCACACTGCAAACCCGACAGCCTCGGAGCCAGCACCAGGGGCAGAATGAGGACAAGGGGCAGGTGCTGCTCCTGCCGAGCACCTTACAGACGTGAAGAAGGACCCAAACCTTTGCAGCGTGGCCTCAGTCACTCTCACAGAGGTGTGAGCCAGGAGAGACTCATTCTCCGAGCGTTTGAGGCAATGACACTACAACCCTGTCCACGACAGGCAGCGTAGGGCTGCCTAGCCTGGACCAACCAGAACTGTCATGGCAGGGTTAAATTCTTCCAGCTACCCAGCTACCTGACCTAGCTACAGCTATGTGTACAGCTGCTCCTGCTGCTCTCTCTCGTGCATATTTCCCTTTAAAGCAGCACAAAAGGGCTTTAGGTCAGCACCAGAGCTCTCTTTCAGACCACCTCCTTGGCTGTACCTCCTTCCTCAAGGGAAAAAAAAAAAAAAAAAAAAAAAGTTTAAAAAAAAAGAAGTAGAGAGACACAGACAGACAGCTTACAGCTATATAGAAAGTGTCCCAGGGGATTTTCCTTGAAAAGGCTCTACAGAGAAATGCAATGGAGTAAAAATCATGCTCCCGAGGCTGCAGTCTCTCTGCAAGCACAGCAGGAGGACAGGCAATGCCTGAGCAGCTCCTGGATGGGCTGCATTCTCCTCTGGGGAGGTGGCACACCACTGCAAGGCCACGTCCTAGCCACACATGCTGTTTGAGAAGAAGATTTGGCCATTTTTGCCACGAGCCTAAGGATGGGCAGTAAGAAGTAAGGAAAAAAAAACCCAAAGAAGTGAGTGACTGGCTTGTAGAGAGGTGATGGAAAGGGGCACCCATGCTGGCAAGAGAGGAAGCCCCATCAACAACCCCAATGCCACCTCCCAGGCTCTCCAGTACACATGCTGGCTAATGCTACCTGCAAGGCGATGGCTGAGAGGACCTCTCACAGCCTCGAATAAGACTCATCAACCAGCAGAAGCTGTTGCTTCAAAATTGCTCAAAAGCCAGGGCAAGGAAAAAATACTGAGAAAATTAAAACATCAGTAAAAATTATTAACAAAAAAAGGAAAGGAGGGAGCTTTTCCAGAAAGGCTTGTTGTCTGATCTGAAAGCTACAAGTGCAGAAGGAAGAAAGAATATTTTCAGCTAAACTTCTGCCCTGGTTTGGTGTTGAAGTCAGCAAAAAGTGAAGAAAAAAAAACAAAAACAGAGAGAGAGACGGAGCAATCTAATTCACAATTGTGTCACTGGGAAATAAACAGGGGAGGCTGAAACCACCAGGGAGCAATGCAGGTACAGAGACCACTAGGGAAACTTAAAGTATATTGAGAAATACAATGGCCCGTTGTTGGGCAGAGACAACTGAAGTACTCAATAAATACTTTTTTCACATCTACCAGGAACAGAGCTAATATAGTCGTCCAGCAGAAGGGCAAGAATGTATTTGCTAATCCATCATCATCTTCAGGACAGTAACAGCTTTGATTTCATGGGTTTGGGCTGCCCCAAGAGTCATGCAAGAGCTGGATAAGGAGCTATGGGCAGCTTGTCCCTGGCAGGACACGTGCAGCGATGCTTCATGCAGTTTTGGCACTCAGGGAATCTGAAAACTTGGGGAGGGCGCAAAGATCCCCCCAAAAAACTCAAGCAGAAACCAAGCCATGCTGTGGGGGTAAGGTTTCCCTGCTGGGAAACCAAAGCAGGGTAATGCCCTCCCTACAGCGCAGTTGAGCAACGGCTTCAATGATTACGTGAGCTGGGGCAGCAGGGATGGGTACCCGCGTTTCCGTCAACAACAGGATCACACAAACTTGCTTTTCCCATGAAACTAAGCTACAAAAAAACAGGGTAACAAGAAGCCAGAGCTGGAAGCTGTAACCAGATGCATTCAAGTGAGCAGCGAGGCACATCGTTTTATCTGTCTGAGGGACTACTAGCACTGCCAAGGGAAGAGCAGTGTGCCTCCAGATCTACAAGCCTTCCCGAGAGATACTTTTGCCAGACACCAAACCAGAAAGAAGCCTGTGCCACGCTGCAGTGAAGCACAGACTTCTTCTTCCAGCCATTTCTGTCTACCCCGTGGTCTTCTCAGAGTTACCCCATCAGCACGGGCACAAGTTTGCGTGAGGCATCCACCTGCAAGGGGACCACCCATGGCACTGGGTCCCTTCTGTTGTGGGTCCACCCCCCAGCCCCCCCCCAGGCCCACTCACTTCAAGGAGAGGGAGAAGTCGTTCTTGCTGGTCTCGCTGTTGCGCACCAAGTAGCTGGCCTCCTTGCACAGCCTCAGCAGTGTCTCTGCGTCCGTCCGGCTGATGGCCCCGTGGTACCAGCTGGAGACGGGAGAGGGAACGGCTGTGCCAGGCAAAGAGCAGACACCCTGGGAAGGACTATGCCCTGGGGAAGCAGCAATGCTGGCACCCCTGGCACTTCCCCGAGGACAGCAGCCGTATTCGGGGAGAGGGATGTGGGGTGGCACCGCTGGGGCTGGGGGACAAGGGGCAGGGCTTCCACCGGGCAGCTCAGGGGGGTGCAGAGGGCACACAGGGACACCACAACTGCAAGACAGGCAGCAGGGACAAGCAGGCAGAAACGCAGGGCCAGGGAAGAAAGAAAGAAGCGGGTCTGCCCTAGGCCTCCTCGTGGTGTGGCAACAGGGAGAGGGGCAGGCAGGTCTCACCACTGGCTCTCCAGGGGCAGGGCAGGGTCAATCCTCTCCCCAACGAAGGGGCCAGGCTCAGCAATCAGTGTCTTGGTGCTCTTGAGGCTGCTGGAGCCATGCCTGAGGGCAGCCCTGGCCTTCTCCTCCCTGCAGGGCGAGGTGCGGCCGTACCCCAGCCCCTCCGACGGACCTGCAAGACAGACGCACGTCACAGCTGGCAGTGGGGACAGGTGGACAGGCTGGGCTCCCAGCTTTCCCCGCCGTGGAGGGAACCCACAGAAAGAGACAGAGCCACGTCACGTCGTGCTGGGTCCCCTCATGCTGCCCCATCCCCCTGCTTTCAGCAAGGGCAGGGCACGGCAGCTTTTGGACTGCTGCTCACTGCAGTGTCCCAGGACAGACAAGGTTGCATCCCCACCACACCAGGACCAGGGTCCTCACAGCACCCGAGCCCCTGGGAATATTTTCTAGGGAGGTTTCAAAAGCTCAGAGGGGTTTTGCTAATGCAACCAGCGATTCAGTGGTTGCGGCGTAGAGTTAAGTGAGAAGCAGTAAGGAGAGGCTCTCCAATCTTGGGGGGGCAGGTGGGGAATTAAATTAAATTAAAAAAAGAGGGGGTAGATGGAGCTAAAGGGAGCGGTCAGTTTGAAAATGATGGACACATTTCTGCTGGCACAAGTAAACCTCCTGAGGTGAAAAAAATAATTCCCCGAGGTGGGAAGGAGACATTTTGACTGCAAGGTGCCTCCCCAACGCAGCCACCTGCCTGGCACCAGCCCAGCCACCGGCACCCCGAGCACCGACAAGGCACGGTGGCCCAGTGCGTGCCACCCGGCGAGCAGCGGGGGATTAACTGAGATGTGCCCGGGGGACCCAGCCTCCCGCTGACTGTTATTTCTGTGCAGGATGATTTCAGCATTAACAATATTGTTTTTCCCTCCTCCAGAGCGTTTATTATTGCTCCCCTGCAACGCAAGCCCCCTCACACAAATTACTTATCGATCAGGCAGAGCTGCCTTGACGCGAGGCTGCCAGTGGCTGATGCCACGGAGGCACAGTCGCCCCGGAGGCGGCTGAGCCCAGACACTGCAGCTCCCAGGACAAGTGGAATGTCTGGGACTGGGCAGCGTCCCCCCCTCCCCATGCTCCCTGGCTGCTCCCTGGAGGGGGAAGCAAAAGCAGGGCGATGCTGAGGCCACGCTGCTGCGGGGCAGAGGCAAAAAATACCCAGGGAGGGATATTCTTCTCTCTAGCAGGGCATCCTCTACGGCAGCTATTTGAGGGACACCCTGTCTGGGCCCTACACAGGCGAGCAGGTCTCCGGCCCCCCCAGCACTGAGAAGAGAGGAAGGCAGCTGAAAGGAAACCCAGCCAAAATCCTCTGCAGCTTAGCACAGCTTAAAACCCCCTGAGAAGGAGCTCAGGGAGGAGGTGCCTGGCATTAAGGCTTGACAAGCCCTGCCTCTGCAGTGGTCTGGCTTTTCACTGGCCAGGTTCACCTTTGTACGTAACATCCAGGCTTCAATTTCAACTCATCACCTTAAAAAATTGGGGTGATCATTAAAAAGCCAGACAATCAAAACACCAAACTGTTTGCTGGCAGCACAAAGTCATCGTGTTAGAGGCTCAGAAGAAATGCATTGCACCTGTCAGAGAAAGGCAGAGGTATGTGCATGATTAAACAGGATATTAAAAACAAGCCCCTAAGAGTAAGAAGACAGCCTTCAAGAAGTTCAAGTCACTCCCAGACAGGGGAAGTAGAAAATGAGACAAAACTCTGGCAAGATAAACTTAACACAACAAAGCAAGCCTGGAAAAAAAGGGACTCTGTGTTGCTAAAACCAGGAAAAATGACAAACTGATGTGTTCATCAGGAGCAGGATGCATGTCAGAATGACTGCAGGGATAAAAAATGATGGGGGAAGAGAAGAGGCTGCATAGCAATGAAATTAATTTTTCTTGACACCTGCATTCATTGTAGGAATCCTCCTGCCAAGACCTTTCTTTTTCGGGACTGCTCTCAGCCTGTAGCATCCCTATGGGTTTGGGACAGTACCCCAGCGTGGGCCTGGTAAAGCAGCCGCGTCGCTCTGGAGTGCCCCTACAATCGGCAGCAAAATCAGCTGTCACGTGCAACCTCGCGCTTAAACCCACCTGGGAGGCAGCAAAAGCCATACTGTTTTTTCTTTACAAAGCTCTGCAGGGATCTGGGTAACTGCAGATAAGGAAATCAGACATCTGCACCTGGCACGTCACAGTGTCTACCAGGAGCAGCGTTAGTGACGCACAGGCAGACACGGCACACCGGGACGCAGCCTCTGCTTTGCAGAGAAAAAGTCACGTCTTGCAGATCCGTCCCAGTTCTCCGCAAGAGTGACAGCCCAACCCCAAAAGCCTGGGTGGCTTTTGACAACACCCCCCCACCTAATGCTCTTGGCAAAATCCTAATCCACCACAGCACAAGAGCAAGGTCCTTACAGTATTAACAATGGGTTAAAAGAGAAGCAGCAATATTTGGCTTTCATAAGCGAGACTGCCAGCAGAGTCCAAGGGGGATTTACATGGGGGCTCTGCTGCTCGGCACACACAAAAAAGGCTTCACAACAAGGCAAACCTGAGATGACAAAGTGTACCTGGGAGATTTAGCTGTTCAGGATAGCAAAAATGAGAGTGAAGAATCCAGAGGGACCCCCTGCCACTGAGCAGCAAGGTAATAAAATAGTGGAGGAAACGGAGCAGTGCTAAATGACGAAGCGAGGCACACGGGGAGAAAACAACCCCAACTTCAGCAGTGGGATCTGAATTAGCTGCTACCACACCTGTAAGGGACCTGGGTATTAAGTTGCAAGAAAACATCAGCTAAATGCTTAGAGCAGTTGTTGAGAAGACTGTAAAAGCAGCCATCAAACACTGGGAATTTGGAGGCAAAGAGGAGAGAACAAAAGAGAAGGTAATAACTCTGCCACTGAATAATCCCCTGGCGCAGTTCGACTGCTGCGTGCAAAGAGGCATCGTGGAGCTAAAGAAGATGCAAAAGAGGCGAGGACAAATGCCTGGCGTCTGGCACAGGACACCTGAACAGGCCAGGAGGAGCTGGGGGAAGGCGGAGGAGGAGGGTGGATGTCTGGCAGCACCTGCAGGCAGCGGGGAGAGCCCTGCCAGGTCCGGGCAAGCTCCGAGGCGTCGCAGCATCTCGGTGCTGGTGGGGCAGCGAGGCAGGGTCACGGCAAGCACTGGCCGCAGTCCCCCCTGGACACCCCGCTGTCATGCAAGACCCACCGTTGGCGTCTTCGTAGCTGGGCTGGCTGTGCTGCAGAGGGACGGAGGCACCAGCCTCACTGTCCAGGGGGCTTTCACCACTGTCGAGCTGTCCCACCGGCGGTGGCCATGGCAGGTCTTTAATGACCTTGATTTCAACTGGAGGGGGGGGGGGGTGCGCAGAGAGAGAGAAAGAGAAAGAGAAAGAGAGAAAGAAAGGGCTTAGAAACAACCAGCAACACCAGGCCCACGGAGAAGGAGAGCAGCTGTGGGGGGAAAGACCTGAGGACTAAATTCCCGGGAGCCCTAAGCCAGCTTGGCCATCTAGTCCCCTCCCCAACACCAAGCAGGAACAGGGCTGATGTGGGGCACATTCCCAATGGAGAGACCCTGCTCCTCCATCAGCTTTCCCAGCCAACCCTCTCTGGGGTGGGAGGGAGCCTGTGATCTCCCCCCGTCCCATGTGCATGTCCATCCGGAGGACCTTGGCCGAGCGTCCCATTGCCATCCATCCTGCCTGTGCATCCATCTTGCCCCGGTTGCTTCCCAGCCACCCCACGGGGTCCACGTTCCCCTGCCAGGCACCAGCGGGTTGCTGCCTCATGCCAGTACTGGCTGCCCATCAGCAGGGGTCTCACAGGCCCCCCAAAGGGCAGAGAGATTCCGGCATTGCAGGAGAGGAGAAACACCTTGCAAGCCACAGCAGGACCTGCTCTGGCTCCAGAAAAAAACAGGCAGCAGGTCCTAACGTGGCCCAGGGCACAGCAACCTGACTCCCTCAGGACTCGGAGCAAGCTTGAAGTGCCCTGGCTCATGCCCACGTGCATCCACGCGCGAGCCAGACCTGTGAACACACCACCTCCACCCAGGGACGTCAAGCAAGGCGGCTCATCCACCCAGATCCGGAGCACAGACACCTCAGCACAAACCCAGCCCGGCAACGCACCGCGTTTCATGACGGAGCCCGACAAGCTGAATCCTTGGCACAGTGTGCCGTGGGCACTGGCCCTGCACCCAGCTGAGTCCCCATGGTATGAGTGCAACCCCAGGCATGAGTAGATGCTGTGGCATCGAGCCCAGCAGATACATCTCCAGCTCACAGAGCCCAAACCCAAAATGTGAACCACTCCCAAGCCCGAATCTCCACGCCAGTATCCCCGTGCAGCGCCGACAACTGCCAGCTCAAGCACCTTGTGCGCGCCGGCTGCAGCACAGATGCACAATGCTGCAATTAAAATGCATCCTAGATAAGAGCATGGCAATTAGCCAGCACTGGCGGAGGAGCCAGCGCTAATGCACAGCATGGATTTCCTCATTAACAAACACAAACACAATCGATCCCACAGCACAAATAAATAGGTCAGGGGACTGGACAATTGCCTGGCCAAAGGCTCCTGGGGGAGTGCCCAGATCTCCTCCTGCCCTGAGGAAGCATGGATCTGCTTGAGCCCAGGGTCGAGCCTCTCCCCTGCAATTTGAGGTTTCTGGGGGTTGCACCAGAGGCTGTGATCACCCAGGGGGAAGAGGCAACGAGAGATGAGCACTGGACAGGCTGCCAAGGCAGCTCCATCCACCACTCCACACTGCCTGGCTCCCTTCTGAAGTGCATGAGCACTCCCCAAGCCATGGAAATGCAGAGGCCAACACTACTGACCCCCAAAAGATGAAGGAATCCCAAGGAGCCAGCTTCCCCTGTGAAAAACGCAACACAGCATCAGTTGCTTTATGGTTGGAATCCATCCTTTATGGCTGCTCCCATCACTCACCTGCAAAGGCTTTGGAGATCCGCTCCTTCTTCCACTCCCAGGGCTGGTCGTACTCCTCCGGCGGCCGCTCGTCATCCTCAGGCAGCCGGGACTCCCTGGGCCTGTGGCAAGCCGGGCGTTCACTGTCCATGTCCAGTCCTCCAAGCACAGGCTCATAGGGAGTGTCGTAGAGGTGCAGTGGCCGGGCAGGAGCCTCCCGTAAGCCCTTCTGGCGGATCTCTGGCAGGAGAAGAGGGAAAAGACCATGAGCTCTTTGCCCAACACAGCCTGGCCATGGTCCCCAAAGCCCTGCTAGATGACAGGGCTCAATTTCACCCAAGGGTGACATGGGATAGGGACCATCAGCAATGGAGGAGAGCCCCCAAACCTCCAGCAAGCGCCTGCCAGAAGCCGGGGAGCTGTTGGGCAGCCAGGTCCTGAGCAGTCCACAGCACCAAGATGCCTTCTCTCCCCACAGTACAATATCCCCTCACTCGGACAGCCCTGCAAAGCGGGGTCCATGGGGACAGAGCATCCCAAAGCCTGATACCCTGCAAGCAGCAAGGCCAGGTTTCTTCCCTGGACACCCAGGGTGGCTAGTTTAATAAAATGCCCTTCCCTCGAGCAAAACAGAAGTCTGTCCCACAGACACAAGCAGCCTCCTCGTCGCTTGCAGATTTTTCCAAGAATTGCAATGGACTAGTCCAAAAAGCCGCATGAGCTTTCCAGAAACCACTCACTCCAGGAAAATCATGGAACTGCAAAGCAGAGACAGAGCCTGGAGCGTGCAAGCCGGCACAGTGACCCTGCATGCACTGCGGCGGTAAGAGCAATGCCTTTGGGAGTGCGTGCTCTCACCTCACCTGCTTTCCAGCCATAAACAAGCCCACTGGGGATCCCACTGCTGCAGCAGACAATGGCACGCTCTGGCCCGGTCCTAACCGAATTAAATAACTCCCACATCCATCTTAGTTTTACGCCAGATGCATCAAATGTCACACCTCTCCTGGCTTAGCCTGGCAAGCAGGCACTGTGGTCCCGGGGGGCAGCATCGCAGGGGGAAATATTGAGGTGCCTTTATTGCTCGGGTAGCCTTTGTGAGTGCTCTGGCTACGGCGAGCCCATCACACACAGCTAAAGCTGTGAAAATTTGCCTGCAAAGTGGCTGTGTGCCACCACAGCAATCAGCCAGGTTTGCCTTGTCTGGGGGATCAGGTGCTGCCATGGGCTGCAAGAAACAAAGTACAGTGGCCACCAAATTCACACAGCAGGGATGAGAGGCACAAAGTGGCCTTTGCACGGAGCCTTCCACCTTACCAGCCATCATCTTCTGGGCTTCATACGGCTCCATGTATCCATCATTCTCTGTCACCTTCTCTAGCCCTGCCTGGCTACCAGCTACCTGCGCCGCATCGAAGGGATCTGCGTAGTCCTCCAGGACAGCCAGCTGGAAGAAGGGAAGGTTAGGAGAAGGATTAGGATACTCCCTGCCTTTTTGCGGGGCGGGGGGAGGGGGGCAGGTCAGGGACGAGTTGAAGCCCCTTGAAACCACACCACAAGCTCTGCTAGCAACAAGCCAGAGCAGCAGCTGGGACCCTGAGCCTGCATCATGGCACCCCGCAGAGCAGGTGCTGGCAGCCGGCGGCTTTCCAGGCACCGGCGCTCGGCTGTGGAAATGCTCCAGCCTTTGTCCCGAAAGCTGGGACAGAGCCAAGCAGAGCAGAAGGCGGCCCGGCCTCCTCCCTTACCATCGGCTCAGCATTGCCAGCGCCCACGCAGACACCCCGGCAAGGCCCCCGCTGCGACACAGGCCTACTGGTGATGCCATTCCCCCCCACCACGGCACACAGATGCTCTCCCTGCACGCAGCCACATTTCCTCACCCGATGTGGGGAAGGGGCACAGATCCCAGTACAGGTGTGTCAGCTGGCACTGGCACAACTGGGAACTCACTGGTTATTTTCCAGTGCTCCTGCAGGCTCATTTGAAGATGTTTCTCAACAAAAGGGCTAAGAACAGCCTACAGCTTCCTGTCCGCTCCCTCCCAGGCCCCCGCAGCATCCCCACACGTGTCCCAAGTAACACAAGACAGGGCTCCTCCACGCGATCAGGAGTCACTGGGAAGCAGGACCAGGAGCCTCTCAAGCACCATGTCACAGGGACAGCACAAAAAGCCCGAGGTTTGCCTTCGCTAGCGAAAAGGAGATGATCCTGCAGTAGGATATGGGGAACGTCCCAGAGCTTGATCCCCTCTGGCGCTGGAGCCACACGCCTGCACCAGCACCTCAGCAGCTTCCCAACTGGAGCACACCATTGCACGATGCCATAATCTCCAGCAAGCCTGGAGCTGTACATCCCCCCTTCAGCCCCAAAGCCTGGTCCCAAAACGGGGCCACACAGTATTTCCAGCAGGGTCCAAGTGCGCCCAAGCAGCTTTGCCAGGGTCTCGCTCACCCATCAGACTGCAAACCCCAGGCTGGACCACCCGGCGAGATGGGTTTTGCCACCACAACGCCAGCTACGCAGAGCTCCCGCAGCAAGGACCAAATGGCCAGAGCATGGTGTGGTGGCTGCCTAATCCCACCCAGTGCCAGGCTCTGTCCTCACCGCCATGCTGTCCCTGCGCCTGGCCAGCCTTGGAGACCAGGGCTGCTCCACGTATTCCTCTCCGGCTTCTGTAATCGGCTTAAAACAAAACATTTCTTCCTCTTTCCTGTGCAAAACGGCCCAACAATAGCCTCGAGCAGCAAAACCCAGCAGGAAAAGGGAACAGGAACTGGAGCTGTAAACACCTCTGTGAAGCCCTGAGCCTTCGCATCCCTCTGAGCTGCAGGAGGAACACGGCTTCCTCCGCTCCAGCTCACCACCTCCTCTGTAAAAGTCCCAGCTCCGGGCTCCCTGCGTGGCTGATGCAGTGGGGAGCCGGGCCGGCTCTCCAAGCCTGGCCCCTCTGTACCGGGGTGTGAGCGAGCAGCAGAGCGTTGTCCTTGGAACAAACCCCAGGGCTTGCAGCCACCCCAGGCAAGCACAGGGGGTGGTTCAAACGTGGGAGCGAGCAGACGCTCTCACCCCTCGGCAAGGCAGCAGCAAGACAGATGGCTGCTCGGGGTATCGGCCTCCGCCAGACAAGAGGGAAAGAGCAAAACCTCCTGCTGGCTCTGCAGGCAGGGCCCGGTGCCAGCGAGCTGGCTGGGATGGGGCTGCAGGAGCAGCCAGCCCCTGGCTTTGCAGCGGGAGACAGGAAAGAAATCTGCCCTCACCTCCATCATCCAAGGGAGACGTGGCATCACTCAGGCCCTGCCGGGGACACCGAGGGGCAACACTGAGCCCAGAGGGCTGCAGCCCTTCGCTTGCCACCGCTGGGTCAACCCCCCCCCAGGGAAATCTACGTCACTGGTGACTTTTGCAGCTGCTTGGTCGCTAGGACCCGACCTAATGCCCCACAGGGTGGGGAGATGGGCGACAGCAACTGCAAATTCACTGCGGGAAGCCCCTGTTTTCTCAACACCCTTTTCCTCTCCAAGGCAAAGAGGGGTTCAGCCTGCAGCAGGCGGGTGCTTCCCACCCGCTGCCTGCAAGATCCCAAGGGCAGATCAGCACCTGCCACTCTGAACAGCCAGGAGATCCCGTGGGCTGCACCCATGCCTCGAAAAGCTGCAAAGAAGCTTCCATGCCGCTGCAAGGACATCCACAGAGCACAGCCCCACGCTGGCGACAGCTCGTTCGCACACGTGCAAGCACCGAGGGAGGCATGAGCACAGGCAGGCGTCCCAATGCAGGGGCTCGACACACGAGCGCCTGCGAGGCGGGCAGACAGACAGCGCCATGCCCGATGCTCAGCCCTTGCAAGAGCTCTCATGGCTCCAAGTGCGCTGCGGGACTGTGAAACACAGTCTGCTGACTCCCCTGGGCTCAGAAAGGGGTTGCCTGCTCGTTCCTCCCGCCCCAAGCCCAACCTGCCCACATTCAAACCTGCCACAAACCCCGTTTCCTAGATGCATTTTGCTAGGCAGACATAGACCTGACTTGCTGCTGGCACCAGTCTTGGACCCTCCCTCTCTCACCCCGCAAACACAGAGCAGCTTCAGACAAGACAGGGCACCAGCACAGCAGCTTGGCAGCTGAGAGGCTCCTCTGCACGTGGCAGTCGCGCTTCCCAACCAGAGGAAAGCCCCCTCCATATTTCCTCAGCGCTTGGGTCTGTCTTCCCAGGGAGGGACACATGAGGTCCAGCAAGCTCACAGAGCGGACCCCACTCAGATGCCTCCAGCTCCAGGTCTAGAAAGCAGAGGATGGTGGAGAATCCTAACGCGTCTCTGCCAAGACCCCTAAAACTGGGTATTTTGCTTGCAAGGGGGGTGCAGAGGCACTCCAGCAATTAGACAGGCTCTGCGCAGGCAAGACTGGTTTGCTGGGCTTAGCTTGGACCCAGAGCAAATGGCTCAGATCAGGCAGGGGCTTGAGTCTCCGAGCTCCCTAGGTTTGGTGGGGTTTTGCCGCACTGGCTTTACTCCTCCACTATCTCAAGGATGCCTCTCTGTAGGAGCGAAGTCTCCCCACCATAGGGTGCTGAGAATGTAAACCCATTCATTTTTTAAATAGCCAGATATTACAGTGGAGAGCCACAGAAAAGCTGGGAAGGCAACTCCTGTCTCCAGGGTCATTGCAACCTCGGGATGCACAATCAAGCAAGCGAGAATGGTACCCCGAGCCCCAAGGCTGGAGGGGCTGGAGGCTCCGGCCAGTGCTGGGAATGGGGCAGGGCTCTTAGAGGGCAGACAGCCGGGATCACACAATTACCGAGTGCATCCTAATGCCCTTGCACGAGGGGCCGAATTAAGGTTGCCCAGGAAACTGCATCTCTGACATTTCCTAATCGGAACGCTGGACTTTACGAGCCGCGCAGGGTGCTCTGCAGCAGCCGCGGTGCACACAGCCGCTCCCCCAGTGCAGGCGGGGGCCATAGCCACTGGCAGGGCAGCTCCCAGGGTTGCCCCAGACACCCCCCACTTCGGTCAAAGGCCAGGCATTTCCATGCTTCGCTCGCCTCCCGTGTCGTGGAGGGAGCTGCTCACCGCCCAGCTGATCCCAGCGTGCCGCTCGGGTGCCCAGATACCGAGGCATCACCTGCTTATACACAGCACAAGCTTTGCTAGATTTGAAATAATGCAGGTGAAAAGCAAAGCCTGACAAACAAAGCCACCATCCCAGGGCAGCTCTTGGTGCAGACTACTCCTTCAGAGAGCAGCCAGGCACCACTGGCACTCGGGCACAGATCCTCTTTATGCACGTGAGTGTTTTTCACACATTTATCTGCTGTGGCAATGTACACCCAGATCCCTGCTGCAGTACTGAGGCTGGTCTTGCTTTATTATTTATGCCAGCTGTAAGAAAAAAAAGAAAAGAAAAAAAGTAAGGCAAAGGACCAGATCATCGCTGGGTTCTCGCAGTAAAACAGTTTTTACGCTGCCCACCAGGGAAGGCAACAGCAGCTCTCCAAGAGCATTCACAGTTCAGACACCGAGATCCCAGGGCAGAGCCAGGGCTCTTCACCTCATCTTGCCTACAAACGTCCTAATTGCCACAAACTTTTGCCACAACAAGATGCTCCACTCTATAGAGAGGTCCCTGGAGGACACCTGGGGAGATCCCTCACGTTATAAACAAGTTTCTTGCACTGGAGATAAAGCATGTTTGGGGTCCCCCCAGGGAGATTGCTGGGTTTAATGCTAGAGCCACTCTGAGTTATAACCAAACTCAGTTTTTGTTCTTTCTGTCAGGTGCAAAATTTCCCCAGTTTTACACATCTTGCAGCTTGGCTTTTGGCGGACGCCGAAGCCAAACCCAAAAGCAAACCGAGCACTGGCCTTCCAAGAAAGAAAGGTCCAGTCCGCAGACCGTGGGGCATGGCTGGGCCAGGCAGGGAGCCCATGGCTGCACCCATGGCACGGGAGGAGGGAGTGGGGGGCGGACAGCACAGCATTGCGCAGGATGACTCAGTTTGGGGAGGCTCTTGCAGGAAAGACACACACCCAAGAGCTTCCTGGCCGGCCGTTCCCACACCCCGCGGCACTGACCCTGTGTTCCCAGCAAAAACACCAGTGACCGGTCCCGGCGGGCACGAGACAAAGATGACCCCAGGCAGATCCCCAACCCCGTCCCCAAGCACAGGGTGCCCTAGGTGCAGGTGTCCCCATGCAGGCAGGGCCCTCACCACATCTCTCCCCACTGCATCCTGGTGGCATTGCTCCTCACGCCTGATCCAAACCCAGCAGAGAAAACATCTCCAGGGTATCTGCCTCACTCAGGCGAGCCACACAGGGCCAGTTCATTGTCCACTGCTGTAGGGAAAGGACTGCCCAGACCAAGCAGATGGAGAAGGACCTGTGCTAGTTCCCACCACGTCCAGCAAGGATTTGTAATGGAGCAGGAGCCACTGCA